AGAGCTACTGAAGGTTCTGAGCAGTTAGGAGAGCGTTTCACTACCACAGTGGGATCATGGAAACTGCTCCTCCTTCTTCAGTTCTGATGGAGAAGGAGGGGGATGCAGAGACTGACACTTTGCAGCCCAGCAACCTTGGGAGCATTTATTGTACCTTCACAAGACAACGGCTCTTTCCCAGCCCCTCCAGCTCTTCCACCACAGGTGGTTGGGCCCCCAGATCCCAGGAGCTGATGTCTGATCCTCGAAGATTACTCATCAGATGGCGCCAGCTGCCTAGAAGTGAGGTCCGTAGGACAGGGGACTCTGCAGTGGAAACTCCCCAGACGAGCCTGAGGACTCTCCGCTCACCAACCTCCTGCTTGTTTAGCTGCCTTCTTGGCTCTGCCTCTGCCTGGATGGGGATGTTTGTTTTAAAGATTCAGGACTTGGGATCCAAGAGAGCCAGGGATGGGGTGCAGCAGGGAGTTACCTTGTCAGTCTGACAGCAAGCAGACCAGGGAGGCTTCGATTCCAGCTCTGCCACCTACTAGTCCGTGGCCTTTAGCGGTCAGTTTTCCTGTTTGTGAACATGGGGACAAGTAGAGAATTGATCTTAGGGAGATGTTATACTTATGAAGGAGACGTTACACCAAAACCTGTTAGCATGCCTGCCTCACCACACGATCGAGGGAAATCTTTGCATCTCGGTTTCCTCTTTTGCATTATGGGGATAATGCTATTTTCCTCTCGGAGCAGCTGTGAGAATTTGGATGAGAGGAATGTAAAAACATTTTGTGATTCCCAGTTCTTAGCTTTTCAGCTGGACTCTGCTGCTTAAATTGGACCGCCTAGCCTCCCCCTGACTCTGTGCCATCCAATTTCTGTCTCCTTTTAACTGACTCCAAACACTGGCTGGGATTGGGTCTTGAAACCTAACCAGCTTACTAGTTGTGCAACCTTGGGTAAGCCATGTCAGCTTTTTGGGCCTTGGTTTCTTTCCCTGTAAAACAAAGATCATCATTTTTTTGTAGGGCTGTTGGGAAATTGACACATTATAGCACATGTGAAATATGTGGTACTCTGCCTGGCCCGAAGGAGAGACTTGAAATATTAACAATCATTATTATTACCATTGATGCCCAACCCCAGCCTGGCACTGAGCAGGTAAAGAGGAGGCAGAGAGTTTTGCCTGAAACCCTCCTGCTCAGGTAGGGAATGTTAGGAAGAGTAGGTATTGAATTAACATTTGGTTCCTGCTGGAGGTTGGTCATGCCTATAATATTGCTCAGAATCATGCACATCATCGTGTTTTGTCTTCACAATAACTTTGTTGTTCAGTTACTGAATTGTGTCTGACTCTGCGACCTCATGGACTGCAGCACACCAGGTTTTCCTGTCCTTCACTGTCTCCTACAGTTTACTCAAATTCATGTCCATTGAGTCAGCGATGCTATCTAACCATCTCATGCTCTGTCACCCTCTTCTCCTTTTCCTTCAATCTTTCCCAGCAGCAGGGTCTTTTCCAATGAGTTGGCTCTTCACATCAGGTGGCCAAAGTATTGGAGCTTCAGCATCAGTCCTTCCAATAAGTATTCAGGGTTGACTTTCTTCAGGATTGACTGGTTTGATCTCCTTGCAGTACAAGGGGCTCTCAAGAGTCTTCCAGCACCACAATTCAAAAGCATCAATTCTTTGGGGGTCAGCCTTCTTTATGGTCCAACTCTCACCTCCGTACATGACTACTGGAAAAACCATAGCTTTGACTTTGACTATTGTTGGCAAAGTGACATCTCTGCTTTTTAAATACACTGTCTAAAGTTTGTTTTTCCTTCCAAGGAGCAAGAGTCTTGTAAGGTATGATAACTTTTACAAGAATGGAACTGTGAACTCCATTTTACAGATGGGGAAACTGGGGCCCAGGAAGGGCAGTTCGCTGCCTCAGGTCACACTGAAAGCTTGTGCGGAATGGGGACGGGGATCTGAAGAGATGTTGGGTTGATTCCAGAGCTTTCCCGCCTGACTGAGAAGCTACCTCCGGAGGTGGAACGGGGTGGAGCTGGGTCCTGAGTGATTCAGGTAAGAGTCAGCTCTGGATTTCCAGACAGTGAGTGGGACCCATCTAGGGTGAGACCCCTCCAGGAGCTTTAAAATCCAGGTCCTTACTAGGGTTTCCAGTAGAGTTGCCAGGAAGAGTGTGTGATCGGGGTGGAGCCTGGGGTGGGGCTAAGCAGAGGGAAACCCCACCCCATAGCCGAGGTGGGGAATAGGGAAGGAAGTCTTTGCCACCTTAGCTGGGAGGGGCTCAGGGCCTGGGGTGGAGCTGGGCCTGTGAGGCTGTTGAGGGTGCCCGCCATGGACTCAGTTGGGAAAGTCAAAGAAACTGAGGCAGAGTACTGATACTTCCGGTTGTTGTCACAGCAGATGGACGGGGTGGCAGTCACCTCCATGAGGCTAGCCCTGGACCTTCACTCACTCACAGAAGGTCTATATTTTTTCACAGATTCAACCACTCACTCATTCATGTCTTTATTCCATAAACCTGCGTTGGTGGATGCCTTCTCTGCTCCAGATCTCGTGTTTAGCCCTGGGGATGTGAGTGTGACCAAGATGCCTGCAGCCTAATAAGGGACAGAAAGGGACCACACGAGCCAGCGTGCTGCCTGCTCTGACCAGACACTGCCCTGGAGAGTCCTCAGAGGACAGAAAGAGGGGGAGGTGTGTCAGAAGACACTTCCCTGGGGACACAGAGCTGGTCCGTGCCCAGCGAATGGACGTTCACCATCGTGAGGGTTAAGGAAACCCCCTAGATGTGGCGGTCACAGGCTTTGGAGTAAAAGAGCTGTGGCCTCTCCAGGGCTGGGGTGAGGACTGCCTGGGACACTGCCCCCCCCATCCCCCCCTTCTAGCTGCCTGCAGCCTCTGCTGCAGACATGCATCAAACACAGCGAGTCCAGATTTGAATATGAACGCCACCTACCAGAGCCGGCTTCCCAGCCCTGGAACCTCGGCATTCTCCTTCACATCTCTCCTTCCCTGAAGCTCCGGTGCCAGTCAATCACTCTTGCTGCCTTCTCTCCTGTCTCCCTCGCCCCCACACCCCCTTTTGGTGTGGTCCTGTCCCTGGGGGGCTGCCTGGGCACCCTATTTGCTGTCCTACCTCTGATGTCTCTTTCACTGCATCCTTAGCAAGGCCTGCAGCTCTGGTCACACAGCCTGGCCACAGTGAGGGCAGAATCCCTTCACACCTCTTCTCAGAAACCATCTGATTTGCCCTTTACATTGTTCAAATGGGGAACTAGAGGCCCGGAGAGGTTCCGACACTTGTCTGAGGTCAAACCAGGGGAAGAGAACTTGGACTCGGATCTCTGACCCCCAGGTTCTTTCTCTCAGTGCCAGGGCCACACAAGTGCTGTTCCTCTGAGTTCCAGAGGGTGGCTTGGGAGTGAGGGGTCAACAGGAGGTACAGGCCAGGGAACTGGCTGTGCTCCAGGCCTGAAGGGAGGGAGGACCCGGGAGTGGAGATGGGGCTTCATCCAAGCTCTTCTTTCTTCATCACAGAAATCCCCCGTTTCTTTGGGCAACTGGACCCCCGAATCTCACCTTAATCCCATTCCTCTGGCAGATAGCCCAAGCTTCATGTCTCCTCGCCCCGTCCGGGTTAGTTATCGGGGGCTCTGGATCTGGGTGGGGGATCCGGATGCCCCAGCACTCTAGGTCCCCAGGCCTTCTACTGGCTCCACTCCCTCCGGCATCTGCCCTGGCTTGCTCTGTCTCTCCGGGGTGGCTGGCTTTTGTCCCAGTGGAGCAACGGAACAGCTTGGGTGGGGACGTAGGAGGGGCTCCGCAGCAGGATTCACTTCTCCCGTGCTTCTCTCTCTGCACCCAGGGATGTCTGGGAGCCTGCATACAGACCTTTGAACCCTCCCTCCTGGCCTTCCAGGCTCTGGGGCTCACAGGATGGCTGGGTGTGGCGGGGAAACTGAGGGAGAAAATCTGTGGACGTGGGGACCAGGAGACTCTGTGGGACGCAGGGCACCCTCCCTCTTCTAAGCTCGGTTCCCCCAGCTACAAAAAAGAGGAGCTGGATGCTGGGACTATGTAAAGTAGGCAGTGGGTGTGAGACTGGTGGAGCGTCCACCCTAGCCACCTGGAGCCTGAGTCAGGAGATCTTTGAAAAGAATGCTTCCTGGTCACGGGTCACCTTCTCCGTGCTACGCACTGCATCAGGAAGTTTGTGTGCATGACCTCATGGAAACTTAAAACCGTCCTCTGGGTTGAGTTTTATTGTAATAGCATCCTTGCCTTAGAGACGAGAATACTGAGGACCAGAGAGGTTAAGTACCCGGTCCAAGGTGGCTCAGCTAGTAAGCTGTAGAGTCTCGATTCGAATTAGGTCTCCTGGACTTGGAACCTGTGTTCTTCCTTCTGGCAGTAGAGGTTCGGGCAGAGGCAGGTGGCCTTGGAGGGCAGGGTTTCAGCCCTTGGCAGATGCCAGTCTCCTTGTTGGATCTGAGGGTAGTGCATTTCTCCTCCAGGACATTACGTGAAGACCAGCCTGGACTGCTCTTTTCCCAGCCTCCTTCCACTTGGGGTGAGGGTAGGGGAAGGGTATGTGGTTCTCAGCGGCAAATTCTAGTTTGAGATACCCCCAGCTCTGCCCTGAAGCCCCAGGTGGTCTCAGCCCTGCACATCACCTCTGGTCCTCAGTTTCCTATCTTACCAAATGGACACAATTCTCGGGCTACTGGGTTTTAAAAGCTCAAGTGTCTCAAATATCGCGGGTGAAAAACCCACCTTAGTGGCCTGGCCGGTCACAGAATAATTAATAAAATGTCTTGGCTGGAGGCAGAGCCGAGGAAGTAAGTGGGAGGCGGCCGAGGTGACAGCTGGCTGGAGAGGTGGAGCCAGGGAATGGGTGGGGAGGGGGCGGGCCCGAGGGGCCGGAGCTCCCGGGCAGAGTTAGAGACGCGCTCCAGGGGCCTGAGTCCGTCTCCAGCACGCAACCGCCACCCTGCACCATGAGCCGTAAGTCCGGCCCCGGTGCCCCCGGTTTCCCTCGTGGCCTCCCCGTGGGGCCTTGAATGCCAGACTCAGCCTTTCAACTCTCTCCCTTTACAGGGCAGAGTATCTCGCTCCGATTCCCGCTACTTCTCCTGCTGCTGTCGCCCTCCCCCGTCTTGCCAGCGGACCCCGGGGCGCCCGCGCCAGGTAGGCGGCCTCTTTCCTGCCCCAGAAGAGCCCCGGTCCTGCGTCCCTGGCTCGGCACCCCACGCCCCCCCCCTCCCCTCCCGCCCGCCCAGCTTCCCCTTTCGGCTCGCGGTGCCTGGGAGGGGGGAGGGGGCTGTCTCTCGGTGGGATGGGGGCTTTCTGCAGACCCCCCGGGGTGTGGCCTGGGCTAGGTCCCCACGGGGTTCTTTTTGCCGGGAAAGGGCAGACTGGGATCTTGGGCGGCTTTGGGAAAAGGGACCGCGTCTCTCCAGGCCCCCTCACCTGTTCTGGGACCCCAGCGGTCCCCAACAGTCCTCGCTGTTTCCCCTGCGGGCCCCTTTCGGAGGAAGCCGCAGGCGTCAGGGGAAAGCAGGCTGGCGCGTTCTCTTTCTCCAGCCTCTAACTTTCCAGGCCCCTTCTGGATTCTCGGCCCCCGTGGAGACGATCTGCCCGGATGAGGACCCCGGGTGCACCCGCCATTCCGGGGAGAGTGGAGGGGGAAACACACTTACAGGGCTGAGTTGCTTCCTCTGGAGACTGAATCTTCACCTGGGAGGTCCCCACTGCCCAGATGAGTTAAGGGAGGCTCAGGTTGGGGCCATAGCGGCCTCAAGCTCACCCAGAACATTGTGGACTCAGGGCTGGAACTTTCTAGGCGTTTTGCAGGGTCTTTCTGCAGAGTCCTCCCTGCCCTCATCTCTCCCGGCCAATGGACTCCAGTTTCTTCACCCCAAAGATGACGGGGAAAGTTAGATCCTGGAAAATTCCCCTGCCTGGCACCATGCATGTACCAGGTTCCAGGTAGAGGAATGCAGCTCCTCCTTCCCATAGCCTCCCTCCCTACGCAGTTTCTGTGTGTGTATGTGTGTGCACGCACGTGTGCGTGCGTGCACATGCAAGGTCTGGACAGAGCTTCACCAAACTATGTGAAACCTCCCTGGGGTCTCCATATGCCATCTGCAAAATAGGGACAGGGGAGGATGGGGAGTGATCTGAGCCTTCTGTTGTGATGCTCAGAGGAGAAAGAATTCGGTGCTCAGAGGAGAGGGGAAGGACGTAACTCTGTGGACTGGGAATCAGACCAGGCTTCTTGGAGGAGGGGGTTTGAGTGCGTGGCATTTGGGGAAGCCAAGGAAACGGTGCTCTAGGCAAGAGTTTGGGCATGTGTAGAGGTCTAGTTTGTCGGAAGACGAGGAGGAAGACTCCTGTGGCCAGCACTTTACAGTTTACAAAACCTGGCTGTGGGCATCTCTGTTGTTGGTGTTCACAGCAGCCCTGCCAGGGAGACGCTAGTCCCATCCTACAGAAGGGAGCTCTGAGGCCCAGAGGGGCGAGCCATTTGAGTCTCTGCTGCCATCGGTCTGAGACCCTGGTAGCAGAGCCTGGACTGACCACGTCATCCCAGTGGCCTGTTGCGTTAGCCCCTGGACCAGCCCAGCACTTCCTCTGAGGCCCCATTCAGCCCCATCCAGGCCCCCAGAGCCCCAAGGCTGACCCTTCCTGTCCGCCTGTGTCTGTTCACCAGCTCTTAGTGAGCCATGGTTGTACCCTTTTGCTTTTAGCCTTTTCTGTTTATCTTTATACTGTAAGTGTTTAAAAAGAATTGTGTTTTTCACGCCACAAACATTCCCAGGGGATTGCTTTGTGCCAGTTCTTGGCTGGAGCCTGGAGGCTGAGCTGGGAGGAGCTCGCAGGCCGAGGGAGGAGACAGACATGCCCACAGACTGCCATCCAAGGGGCTTAGGGCCATGACTGAGGGAAGCTCAGGGGTGTGTGGGGCTCGGGGGTGGGTAACAATTATGTCTCAGGTGTGAGGAATTGCAGGAGGCCCCTTGGAGGTGGTGACATTTGACCTGGACCCTGGAGGACGTGGTGAGTGAGAGGTAAAGCGGTGAGGTTTTCCTCTCAGACTCTGGAAGGGCTCTTCCAGGCAGAAGAAGGGCATGAGCAGAAGCCTAAAGGTCTGAATGATGGGAGTGGACAGGCATAGGAAGCCGTAGGACAGAGGCAGGTGTTGGCAGACATGGGCCTTTGGATGCAGAGTGAGGAGTGGGACTTAAGTCTCAGGATATCCCCCTGGGAGCAGGGAAGTGAGACGGGGTAGATGACTTGGAGGTGAGACTGGAGGCTGGGAGACCATGAAGGAGGTTGCTGTAAGGGTCGAGGAAAGGACGGAGGACAGTTTTGGGGGTGGGCTGAAGGTTTTGCTGCCTTCCCATCGCCAAGTCTCTGAGTAAACTGAGGTCCAAGGTGCCCGGACACTTAGGAGAGGCATCTGCCCTGAAATGCCAAAGCCTGTGTCTAGTCCCCAGAGTGGCGGCAAAGGCTGATCCCCCAGGAGATGAGGGCTTACCTGGGGGTAGGTGGCGGGGAGGATGCTGCTTCTGCCTCTCTTGTGATGGGAGGTGGAGTCCGGCTTGGAGGACAGGACTGTGTCAGGGCATCCTCAATGCTCAAGTTCATCCCTTCCAGCTCTTGGACTTGGCTGAGTGCTCCCCCCTCGACTAGGGATGGGGCATGACCTAACCGGACCTCCGTGCCAGGCGGAGGGGCCTGAGGCCAGCTAACCCTGGCACGTGGGGCAGGCTTCCTATGGCCCGCCGCCTCCTATCTGCAGCACCAGCTGGGGCTGTGGGTTGGGAGGGGGCTTCCTTTCCAGCTGGGCTCTTCCGGCTGCTGGGGCCTGGTGTGGTGGTCCCTGGCTCCTGGCCGCTGCCTTTGCTGCGTGTAGGGGCTGGGGCCCACGCCTGGGCTGCTCGGGGCTCTTTTTTTTTTTCTTTGGCTGCCAATCCCCTGGAACTTCTCTAAATATTATTCTTAGGGAATTTCAGTCCAGCCTCTTTAATGGGTCCTCTTGCTGCCTGATGCCTCCGCGTCCTGAGAACTTGGTGTTCCCTCACTCTGCCTAGAACCCTGACTCTCGGCTGAGGGACGCTTCCTTGCCGAATCCTCAGAAAGTTCTGGTGCCAGGCAGCCCCAGACTGTCCTCATTAGTGGGAATGTGTGCGCTTTGGGCTTGCTGATCAACCCCACCTCTGGGGTGGCTTGAAGACTCAGAGCAAGCTGCTGGGTTCTTTGCTGATGGAGGGGCGGGGATCATGTTGATGCAAGGAATCGAGACGTTTGGAGATAAGTTGGCTTTATCCAGAGTTGAGAAGAAGAGAGGAAGAGGGGGAGGTTTCCTTAGAGCCTGTCTGTCCCCTCTCCTTCCTGGAAAACACTGAAAAATGAGGCCCACAGGACACAGGTGTCTGCCCACGGACATACTGTGAAGGGCAGGCACTCTCCCATACATCTTCATCCAGCAACTGCTTGGTGCCCAGCCCTGTGCTGGGTGTGGGGACTCCAGACACTTTACAATCAGTGTCTGCATCTCCCCAGGTCTCTCTCTTGATTGTTTATTGTGCAGCATGTCCTCCACTGGACACATGGAAGCATGCGGGATTTAAATTAGACTGAAGGAAGGCCTTCCTTTGTGACTAGTTCCCAGAGCTCTAGTGTGCCAGGGGATGGTGATTCCTCTGGAGTCCTGGTTTCATTCATTCAGGATTTTCAGGTCCACCTTGAAGGAAAGGTAACAGACCTGCCTCACCTAGGGTCATCCCCAGCCTATGAAACAAAGGGACTCGCCCTCCCTGCATCCCTTTCCCAAATCCTGGCCTGGGCACCTCCAGGAGGAGGAAAGGAGGGGAAGGGAAGCGAGTTCAAGTCTTGCCTCTTGCAACTTTGAAGCAGTGGGGCTTGGGTGAGTCCCTCATCTGTGGTGGTGGCAGGGGGTCCCGGGGGAGTCTCACCAGCCCCCACAGCTGCAGATAAGTGAGGTGGGTACACAAGGTTGGAGAGTCAGCAAAAGCCCTGGCTTCTGGCCTGTCCTGACAGTCCAGCCGTGGTCAGCCTGGGAGAGGGTGGAAAGTGACACCCAGTCTCCTCTCTGCCCACCCTGACACCCTGGGGCCTCCACCGACAGCTGCAGTCCTTATTGAGGGGGTACTTTTCCTGCCTTGGGGCCGCTGGTGTTTATGGAAGGATCTCAGAGGAGGAGGAGGGAGGGAAAGTTGGACAGCTGGTCCAGGGGGAAGGGCCTCCCCTGGCAGGAGAGGGATGCCTTGGGCAGGAGCTTCTGAGCCTGGGGGGCACAGCTCTGCTGCTGGTCGTCTCCAGGCAGGAAGCCCTCAGGCAAGACTTCAGAACCAGCTGTGTGTGCAGGGGTGGGAGCTGGGGGAAGTGGATGGGGAGATGAGAGAGTCTCTTTGACCAAGCTTGGAGTGGCCGGTCTCCTCACTTCATTTTAAATTCCACAAACATTTGTTAAGCTCTGGATTTCCTTGATGGCTGGATCTCTCCAGGACCTGGGGTTGAGCCCCAGCTGTGCGCACGGCCTCTGGGAGGGAGGAGAAAGCCCAGGAAAGCCCTTTCTCTTGGAGGCTCGTGGTGGAGCAGAGTAGGTTGGGATGTGGGGCCAGGGAGAGCGGAGTGTGGACATTTGGGGAGGCTTTCTGGTGCATGCGCAGTGGGCAGGGTCGGGTTGATTAGGAGGGAATTTACTCGAGAGAAGCTGCAGCCTGGGTCAGAGAGAAACAGAGCTTTTGGCTTTGCAGCTGCGAGATGGGCTGCCCCAGGGCCAACTGGAAGGACTTCTTGAGTTGGGTTTGGGATCCCTGCTGGCAGAGGGATGGGGAAACAGCCTAGAAAGGGCTGGGCCTCAGCGCCTATGCCTGCCAAGTGCTAGGATGTTCGGTGTACCAGGGTTGGGAGCTGGGCAGTGTGGAGGCACGGCAGAATAGCAGACTGTTCTGAGCAGGAGGGAGAGAGAAGTTCAGGATCTCTGAACCTGCTGCAGGGCTGATCCAGAGCTCCTTGGCGTTTCTGGGCCTGTGGCTGTGGGAGGGGGAGGCGGGTCCTGCCAGGCCCCCGCCATGGGTCCCCCCTGCACCTGCCTGTCTGCCTGTGTTGGTCTGATAAGGCCTCTTTGTCCAGACTTCTTCCCATTGGTTCCTTCCTTTTACACCCTGCAGGGGCCACAGAAATGCTATTGTGGGGCCATGGGGAGTTGCCAGGGTTTAAGTAAAACTATTTGCATGATTCTGTGACGTGAGGAGACCTAAACCCTCTGATCCCAGCATCCCGAGGTGACTTCTCCAGCTCCTCACGCCTATTGCTGCCCTGTTGACCCCCTATAATCAGATGCACAAGGAATCGGAGTTCCCTGTCACGTTGGCTCTGAGCCCAGAGAAGGAAGCATGGTTGCAGAAGGGACCTGGCATTTTCTGTGTAAGGCCCGGGAAGGAGCCGCTGCCAGGAGCCGGGTGCCCTGGGTCTGCAGGAGGCCTGACTCTGTGCCATGGCCTTGGCCAAGTCGCCAGCTCTCCCTGAGCCTCTGTGTCCCTTGCTGAGCCCTGAATGAGCACCGAGTGAGCTCCAAAGAGTCTCTGACCTGGCTGTTGGACGATCACTGGAGCTTTGGTTGGGGAGACCCGGATTAGACACGAGGCGGGACTTCCTGGAGGTCCATTCTCCAGGGGGTTGGGGGGAGGGGTGATGCCAGAGCTCCACTCGCCCTCTGGCGAGAGTTTTCCGCCCACATGTCTCCTGTTCCCATGGTCCCTGATCTCCCTCAAGGTCCTAGAGCCCAGACCCCACCCGATGTGGGCCAGGGCTGGGTCTATCAGGAACGGGAGCTGCGACTCCCCTCAAACCTATTCCCTGTCCACGGAGTTCTGGGAAATGTCTTTCCTTGGACTTGACTTCTGAGTCCATGAGGGTGGGGGTGGAAGGGAAGGGATGGGCAAGTGGTCTGGTACTACTTGCTGAGTGACCTATCTGGACTTCCCCTTGTCTGGCCTCAATTTTCCCATCTGTTGAGACACCTGCTCTTCCTTCCCTTCTGCAAAAATAGAGGGATGGTGGGCAACCTCATCTTCTAAGTGTCCAGGTACCCAGAGGCTAGGGGCTGGCCTGAGAATCCCGATCCTTGCCCCTTTTCTTTTTTTTTTTTAAATTAATTAATTAATTTATTTATTTTTTATCACAACCATAGTGTATTTTTTTTTTTTTTTTTACATGTATTCCCCATCCCGGTGCCCCCTCCCACCTCCCTCTCCACCCAATCCCTCTGGGTCTTCCCAGTGCACCAGGCCCGAGCACTTGTCTCATGCACCCATCCTGGGCTGGTGAACTGTTTCACCCTAGATAATATACGTGTTTCAATGCTGTTCTCTTGAAACATCCCACCCTCGCCTTCTCCCAGAGTCCACAAGTCTGTTCTATACATAGGAGTCTCTTTTTCTGTTTTGCACATAGGGTTATCGTTACCATCTTTCTAAATTCCATATATATGTGTTAGTATACTGTAATGGACTTTATCTTTCTGGCTTACTTCGCTCTGTATAATGGGCTCCAGTTTCATCCATCTCATTAGAACTGATTCAAATGAATTCTTTTTAACGGCTGAGTAATATTCCATGGTGTATATGTACCACAGCTTCCTCATCCATTCGTCTGCTGATGGGCATCTAGGTTGCTTCCATGTCCTGGCTATTATAAACAGTGCTCTTGCCCCTTTTCTGAATCCCATAAATTCTGCCCTTGGCTCTGACTTGGCAGAAAGTGAATGCTCTGGAAGCCTCTGGCTGCAGCATCTTATCAGCTGTGTGCCTAGCCTTCCGTGTCCCAGCCTGAGGCCTGGACGCGTCTGCACCACCTTGGTGGCAGCTGGGAGGGAAGGGGGACTTCCCTTGGGGGCCTGATGTGGGTGGGCAAGATTGAAAACGCAGAGTGAGGTCTGGAAACGGAAGGGCCAGGGGCTTTCTGTTCATAGCTGTGGGGACAGAGTGGGCGCTAAGGGGAACACAGACATCGGGTGAGTTAGAACAGAGCTGTGACTGGACTCCATGCCTCTGGCCCCAGTGAGAGGGCTCCCTGATCTATTTCTCCCCCACAGTGAACCCCTGCTGTTACTATCCATGCCAGCACCAGGGGGTCTGTGTTCGCTTCGGCCTTGACCACTACCAGTGTGACTGCACCCGCACGGGCTATTCTGGCCCCAACTGCACCATCCGTGAGCAGGGCTTCCAGCCCATACTCCTTCTCCCCTGGGCTTGTCCCCCACTTCCTACCCTTGCCTCTGGCCACAGCCCTCTTTCCTTGCTGCTTTTGACCTCTGATGCTGCCCCCTCCAGCACAAGCCCTTACTCTTGACACATCTCACTCCCTGCTTACGGGCTCTGTAGTGAGTCTACACTGCCCAGCTCCAGCCTTATTGACCTCCAACCCTGCTCCTGTCTCCTGGCCCCTGTCTGGTTCTGGCTCTGTCACGTGTCAACACTCCCAAGGTCCTATGCTTTACCCTGATTCCTAAATCCCACCCTTGTCCATCCTGGCTCTTGTCCCCAGTTCCCACCTTCTCCTCTGGCTGCTTCCAATCTTGCTAGGAGGGCCCGTCTGAGTGGCTCCCCCTGCCCCCACAGCTGAGATATGGACCTGGCTCCGGACGACTTTGCGGCCCAGCCCCTCTTTCGTCCACTTTCTGCTGACGCATGGGCGCTGGCTGTGGGATTTTGTCAATGCCACCTTCATCCGGGACACGCTCATGCGTCTGGTACTCACAGGTAGGTGGCAGGGGGGCAGGGTCCCTCTAATCTAGGGGAGCAAGAAATCCTGCTACTTGCTGCAATTCTTGGCATCTGATCAGGGCAGTGGCAGGGGATAAGGATGGGGGGTTGTGTGCCAAATAAAAAAGAAGAACCCAGGGAATTCCCTGGTGGCCCAGTGAGTAGGATGTTGTGCTTTCACTGCTGAGGGCAATGGTTCAATTCCTGGTCAGGGAACTGAGATCCCACAAGTTGCTATGCAGGGTAGCCAAAAACAAACAACTAAGAAAACAGCCCAAGAGAAGGTGGGGAAGAGGGGTGTAACTGGGGGCAGGAATCCCTCATCACCATCATTTTCACCCTCTGCAGTGCGTTCCAACCTTATCCCCAGCCCTCCCACCTACAACATAGCGCATGACTACATCAGCTGGGAGTCCTTCTCCAATGTGAGTTATTACACTCGCATTCTGCCCTCCGTGCCCCAAGACTGTCCCACGCCCATGGGCACCAAAGGTAATGGTGATGGGGTGAGGAGACTGAGCCTGGGGTGGGTCACAGGAGATGCTCAGCTCCCTTTGGGAAAAAGCAAGCAGAAGAGCAATGACTGACCCATTTCACAGATGGGTGGACCAAGGCAAGACGTGCATATCCAGAACCAGGGATGAGGACAGGGTTGGGGAAAGAGGACGGAAAGAGGTTGTGGGAGGGTCTTGTCTGAGGTCAGTGGCAGAGTTGAACTAATGCTCCTGTATTTCCAGGGTGCCTCTTCACCCAAACTTTGTCTACTAAGTGGGTGGGATCCTGCTGCGATGAGGGTGACTTAAAAACTGGAATGGAGGAAAGAAGAATAGTGAGCTTTTTACCAGGTGCCAACTCTGAGTTTGGTTCATTATTAATGTGAACAGTCTTACGTGCTTTATCAGTACAGTTTACACATAAAATCACAGTTTTTCTTTAGTTGTTCAAGAACCTACTTAGTCTCATCGGCAGGAGTCTTCCTCCAAAAACCTTCTTCCTCATCCACTCCTGATTGTCCCCAGACCTGGGGGTTTATTCAATTTAGGGCTATCAGTTCAGCTTCAAGCCCACAAAGGACGAGAGACATTAATCCTCCCCTGCCGCTGCTTCAGTTCCCACCACATGGTGTCGCTGTTGAGCACTGGGCCCGTGCAGCCTGGTACTTGTGAGCTTTTGCAGGTTCATAACCTTCCATATCGGAGAAGGCAATGGCACCCCACTCCAGTACTCTTGCCTGGAAAATCCCATGGATGGAAGGGCCTGGTAGGCTGCAGTCCATGAGGTCGCTAAGAGTCGGATACGACTGAGCGACTTCACTTTCACTTTTCACTTTTCACTTTTATGCATTGGAGAAGGAAACGGCAACCCACTCCAGTGTTTTTGCCTGGAGAATCCCAGGGATGGGGTCGCACAGAGTCGGACACGACTGAAGTGACTTAGCAGCAGTAGCAGCAACCTTCCATATGTATCAGTGTCCTTACTTGGGTCTCAAGGGCTCTACTCCGATAGTTTGCACTCACCCATGTTGGGTCTCAAGGGCTCTACTCCGATAGTTTGCACTCACCCATGTTGGGTCTCAAGGGCTCTACTCCGATAGTTTGCACTCACCCATGTTGGGTCTCAAGGGCACTACTCCGATAGTTTGCACTCACCCATGGTGGGTCTCAAGGGCACTACTCCGATAGTTTGCACTCACCCATGGTGGGACTCAAGGGCACTACTCCGATAGTTTGCACTCACCCATGGTGGGTCTCAAGGGCACTACTCCGATAGTTTGCACTCACCCATGGTGGGTCTCAAGGGCACTACTCCGATAGTTTGCACTCACCCATGGTGGGTCTCAAGGGCTCTACTCCGATAGTTTGCACTCACCCATGGTGGGTCTCAAGGGCACTACTCTGATAGTTTGCACTCACCCATGGTGGGTCTCAAGGGCACTACTCCGATAGTTTGCACTCACCCATGGTGGGTCTCAAGGGCACTACTCCGATAGTTTGCACTCATCCATGGTGGGTCTCAAGGGCACTACTCTGATAGTTTGCACTCACCCATGTTGGGTCTCAACGGCACTACTCCGATAGTTTGCACTCACCCATGGTGGGTCTCAAGGGCACTACTCCGATACTTTGCACTCACCCATGGTGGGTCTCAAGGGCACTACTCCGATAGTTTGCACTCACCCATGTTGGGTCTCAAGGGCACTACTCCGATAGTTTGCACTCACCCATGGTGGGTCTCAAGGGCACTACTCCGATAGTTTGCACTCACCCATGGTGGGTCTCAAGGGCACTACTCCGATAGTTTGCACTCACCCATGGTGGGTCTCAAGGGCACTACTCCGATAGTTTGCACTCACCCATGTTGGGTCTCAAGGGCACTACTCCGATAGTTTGCACTCACCCATGTAGCCACTACCCCAAAGCATGACCATTCTGCCAGGAAAGCTGGTCTCTCAGAGCTTCTGGACTCTGCCAACACTTTGCTGGCCACCCGTCCTTTGCTGTTGTTCAGTCACTCAGTTGTGCCTGACTCTTTGTGACTCCATGGACTGCAGCATGCCTGGCCTCCATGTTCTTCACTATCTCCCAGAGTTTGCTCAAACTCATGTCCATCGAGTCAATGCTCAGTGATAATCTGAATGATAGATCCAGGTTACAGTGTGCAGACTACTCCCTCTAACTTCTCTTCGGGGTACTTGATGACCTTTCCCGCTACAGGAAATCTGTCAGTCATTTCAATCTAAAGACTTATTCTATTGACATTGGGCCTCATAGATATATTGTGAAAGATTGCCTTTTCTGTAAGGCAGTCTTGGGTACCAAGGCATCTGACATTGACTTACTTAAGGAAGGCTTCTTAATGCTTGTCCTCACAGTGATAGACACATGCTTCAAGATGACTTGTCTTTACCCGAGACATAGAAAGTTCTGGCATCTTTTAAAACAGAATGGCAAACTCCAGCCTGAAGGCTAAATCCACCCCACCCCCTGTTTTGCAAATAAAGCCTTGTTGAAACACAGTCACGTTCCTTAGGTATTATCTGCTGTCCTGCAGCACCAGCAAATCTGAGTAGATGTGACAGAGACCATATATCAGCAAATCCTCAAATATTGACTATCTGGACTTGTACAGAAAAAGTTTGCTGACTTTTGATTTAAGAGATTCCATCTCACTGGTTTTCTGTCATGCTTACATGGGCACTCCTCAAATGCATTGCATAAGATAGATATCATTTGCCCTATTTTATAGATGAAGGAATTGAGGCTCAGAAAGATGGAATGACTTCTCCATGTTCACACTCTTAGTAAATGGCACAACCCATTTCAAACACAGCAACCTTGTTCCAGGGCTGGGGAGTCCAAGGTTTTTTTGTTTGTTTTTCCTTTTTTCTTTTTGGAGGCAGGGAAGGGTTAACTTGTACAAAGCAGCAAACATACACAAAAGTTGAGAGAAAACGATAATGAAGTCCTATGCATCCATCTCCAGGTTTTAAGATTTGTCCACAATTTGCCAATGTTACTGCATCTATCCCCTTCACCTTATTTTCTTTTTAGTTGGAGGATAGTTTCTTTACAATGTTGCCTTGGTTTCTGCCATACAGCACCGTAAATCAGCCATAAGTACACATACGTCTCCTCCCTATTGAACCTCCCTCCCCCCCACCCCATCCCACCCCTCTGCTGCTGCTGCGTCACTTCAGTCGTGTCCGACTCTGTGCGACCCCATAGATGGCAGCCCACCAGGCTCCCCCGTCCCTGGGATTCTCAAGGCAAGAACACTGGAGTGGGTTGCCATTTCCTTCTCCAATGTGTGAAAGTGAAAAGTGAAAGTGAAGTCGCTCAGTCATGTCCGACTCGTAGTGACCCGATGGACTGCTAGGATGTCACAAAGTAGTGGGTTGAGCTCCCTGTGTTATATAGCAACTTTCCATTAGCTGTCTATTTTACATATGTTAATGTATATATTTCAGTTTTAAAAGCATATTCCAAACATCCTTCCATTTCACCCCTGAATACTTCTAGGGTCTTTTGGTAGAGAAGGTGCAAGGGGTGATCTGGTGGGAGGGAGGTGGTCCTGTGGGGTCCACTCTGAGATTCCTGCGTGAATCAGTTTGGTCTGGCGAACCCAGAAGTCTCTGGGGCAAGGAAGATCCAGAAAGGAGGCAGCTACTGCTCTTTCCTATCTCCCCAATCAGGGAAGAAGCAGTTGCCAGATGCCGGGGTCCTGAGCCGTCGCTTCCTGCTCAGGAGGAAGTTCATCCCTGACCCTCAAGGCACCAACCTCATGTTTGCCTTCTTTGCGCAACACTTCACCCATCAGTTCTTCAAAACTTCCGGCAAGATGGGTCCTGGCTTCACCAAAGCATTGGGCCACGGGGTGAGTACCTAGGAGGGGTCTGGACTTCTCTGGGCCGCACGTGGCACAGGTAGGTTGTTGCTGGTGGGGCAGGACCCGGGGATCTGAGCAGACTCTGTCTCTGTCTTTAGGTAGACCTTGGCCACATTTATGGAGACAATCTGGAACGTCAGTATCAGCTGCGGCTCTTTAAGGATGGGAAACTCAAGTATCAGGTAGCACTGGGCCTGGGAATGGGGTGTTGGAAGGGCCTTCCACGGTCTCCCCTGGTAGAGGGTGTTGGTGGGGGGCCTTGGTGGGGTGCTATGGCAGAAGCTGTAGGTACGTGGGAGGAGAAGAGACAGTAAACCTCGGGAGAAGGTGCCAGGCAAGAGAAGCAGAGAAGGAGCAGACGTGGGCTCTCATGTTCTCTTGGGAGGTGGGTTTTGGGGCTCCACAGAAAATGGACAGTTACAGTCTGCATTTGGGCACTATGGTGTGCTGGGCAGGTGAGCAGTGGCCGTGATAGTTGTAAGCCCTGCCCTCAAGCCCACAGACACAAACCCTAGGGTGCTAGTTCCATGAGGACTTTTTGTCTGAACTCACACTGTCCAGTTATGTGAGCGCCACATAGGTGATTATCTCATGCACTCCTCAGATCGACTGCATAAACTAGGTACCATTTGCCCTCTTTCCTAGGTGTAAGCCACATCCAAGTTATTAAATTTTTCTAGTGGCCACATTAAAAAATGTAAAAAGCAACAAGCAATACTGATTTTAATAATATATTTTGAATTTAACCCAATATATTCAGGATATCCTCATTTCAACATGTAATCAACACAAAAATTGTCAATGAAATATCTCACTTTTTGTGCTCAATCTTCACATTCTGACCCATGTCTTATACTTACAGCACATCTCAATTCGGGTGCCAAGTTTTCATTGGTGATTCTGATCAGCATTTAGATTTCATAAAATTTGCAGTTGAGGAAGTAGATTCACATGTCCGAGTTGTTCTAAGCGTAAAGACTTTCCGATAGCTGGGCTCTTGATTTAAAAATGTAAATCTGAAGTAAATGAAGTTAAAAATCGAGCTCTTCATTCACATTGGCGACATTTCTAGACCTCAGTGGCTGCACGTGGCTAGTGGCTTCCACGCTGGACCATGCAAATTGAAACAAACAAAAACCAAGATGGAAAGTTCACTGCTGAATCTTTCGAACTAAGAACAGTATCTGGCATATAGTAGGTCCTCGATGTTTATTGACTGAGTGAATGAGGAAACTGCCATATAATTAATTACACTTGCGATAGCTGCCTCAGGGGGAGAAGCCAGGAGAGTGTGCAGGGGCTGGGGAAGACTTCCTTAGGAATTATGAATAAACCATGAATTGCATGAAGGATAAGGAGGAATCAGGGAGGCTAAGAAGGGCCCAGGGCTGTCCAGATTCTCAGGCATCAAGGCTGGAGAGGGGCAGTCGCTTGAGTGACTTTGAGGCAGTGAAACAGGGGAGATGCTGCTGGACATCTGATGAGTGTGGGTCGTATTAAGGATTTCTGATTTCTGCCAAGAGCTGAGAGAAGACTTGGAAGGTTTTTTAAGCCAGGGTGTGATACTAGATTTGGATGTTTTAAAGCAAGGGTCCCCTACATTTTTGGTACCAGGGACCAGTTTCAGGGAAGACTATTTTCCCATGGACCGGTGGGAGAAGGGATGGTTTCAGGATGATCTGAGCGCCTTATATTTACTCTACACTTTATTTCTATTATTATTGCATCAGCTCCACCTCAGCTCATCAGGCATTAGGTCATGGAGGTTGGGGACCCCTGTTTTAAAGCCCTGCTCTAGCTGCAGAGCTGAGAAGAACATCTAAAGGATAGAGCCACTTACAAGGGGAGTCAGGGTGGAAGATGAGGGTGGCTTGGAAGAGCATGGTGGCCTTGAGGAGAGAGAAAGGGACTAATGTTAGGAGAGCTTTAGGAGAAAGAATCCACAAGCCTTGGTTGGGAAGGCCGGACAGCGGCCCTGCGTGCTATGGGCAGCTGTCAGTGGCATTGGGCAGATGTCAGCCATGCAGGTGCTGGCTCCCCGCCCCCTCCCCACATTACCAGGCGACTCCATCCCGCAGATGCTCAATGGAGAGGTGTACCCGCCCTCGGTGGAGGAGGCTCCTGTGCTGATGCACTACCCCGAGGGCATCCCGCCCTGGAGCCAGATGGCCGTGGGCCAGGAAGTGTTTGGGCTGCTTCCTGGGCTCATGCTCTACGCCACGATCTGGCTGCGTGAGCACAACCGCGTGTGTGACCTGCTGAAGGCTGAGCACCCCACCTGGGGCGACGAACAGCTCTTCCAGACGGCCCGCCTCATCCTCATCGGTGAGGCATCCCCCCAGCCCTGCCCTGGAAAGTCACCCCCTCCGTCCTGAGAAGTGGCAAGTGGAGGGTTTGGGGACAGTGAGATTAGACTCCTGAGCAGGACCCTGCCCCTCGGTGAGCCTCACTTTCCAAATCTGTACAATGGGAATAATGATGCTTTTATTTTATTTTTTTTTTTTGGCCACGTGGTGTGGCAGGTGGGATCTTAGTTTCCAGACCAGGGATTGAACCCACATCCCCTGCATTGGAAGGCAGAGTCTTAACCACTGAGCTGCTGGGGGGTCCTGGGAATAATAATGATTTTAAGGATTAGTTGATATGATGAATGGGAAAGTATTAGGCACATAACAGGCCTTCAGAAAATGGGACAGTGTGATAGTTGATTATTCCCTGGGTGACTGACAGCAAATCTGGTCAGCCACCCTAAGTCTCAGTTTCCCCATCATACTGCATCCAGGAGCATTTGGGGGCATCCTCCGCAAGTACAGGTCAAACTACAGCTTGCCTAGGCTTCAGAATCCTTGGGTTTCCTGCCCTGCATGCATCTGCCTTCCTGAAGGTTGGTAGCTTCTTGGTGACTCAGGGACAAGATATTTTTGTGTCCCCTACGGGGGCGAGTCTGTCGCCTAAAATGTCAGATGGTTTCCTGCCTGGGAGCTTGGCCCCCAACAGTCCTGTCCAGACCGCGTTCACTCTGAGTCACCAGTGAGCCCCTGCCCCCGCCTCTGGGCATCTCTGGGCATGGCTGTTCCCAATTTTAGTACCCGAGTCAATGGAGCCTGGAAGAGCCACACATCAGGCATAGGAATGGCCTAAAGAACGAGAAGGGGCTGGTTCAGAAGTTCCAGGATTGCAGAGACTTTGACCAGAGAGGGCAAGTCTGTGTCTGCGGGCTGCCCAGCACACCGACTGGTGATGACACTGTGGCCAAAGGCAGGACTCCGAAAGTAGGGCACCTCTAGTGCTTCATTCAACCCTCCCCAACAGCCTTACGACTCAGCTGTGATTATCCTTGTTATGAAAGTTAGGATGCAGAGAGGGTAGGTGAATTCTCCAAGGCCTTTCAGCGGAGAGAGACTTGAACCAGATCTGGTTGCCACCAGATTTTATGCTGCTTCTACCATGTCATGCGGGGAGTACTTTCCTGTGTGGGGAGGGAGTGTGAGCCTTAGTCTGATCTTTTGTGACATGTGCGTTTGGGGAGGGGATTCCTACTTCTACGCGTGTGGACCTTCCCTATTATGCCAGGCCCTGTGCCAAGCAGTACAGATGTGTTCATTGTCTACTCCTCCCAGCGACCCTGTGAATATTATTACACTGATGTCATTATTATTTTTTTAATTTCCTTTGTGAACATGTTTTACTTATTTTCTTATTTATTTATCTTTTGGCTGCATCATACAGCATGTGGGAATCTTAGTTCTATCCCCAGTGCCCCACCACCCCACCAGCAATCGAACTTGCTCCCCCTGCAGGGGAAGCATGGAGTCTTAACCCACTGGCCTGCCAAAGAAGTTCCTATAGTGATGTTATTACAATACACATTTTACAGATAAGGAATTTAGGGTAAGTCATACAGCTCCAGCCCAGGTGGCTGGAAGTGGTGATGTCAAGATTTAGACCGGAGTCTGCTTCCTACAATTCCAGTGGCTCTAGCTCAGTTTGCTTAAAGTCAACGTTTTTAGTGGCTCACTGGCCAAAATGTGTTTCTTTTAATTGCTAGTTCACCAGTTTTCATTTTGCTGTGGAAGATTCATTTTGTGTCTTCCTTGGCTCTTTGCTCTGAGCTGGTTCCTGAGAGGGCAGAGGAAAATTACTTGTAAGAATTCGATACATAGGAACATATGGGGATTATGTTCGGGAGGAGACTCACTTAGGTCTGCCATGTCCCTTGTTTGTTGCTGCAGCTCTTAGAATGGTCTCTTGGCAGCTCCCATCACCCTCCCCGCTCTCAGGCCTGCTGAGATTCCCTCACTGAGTTAATCTCCACCCGCCTGTCTTTTATGGCCTCACTAAGCCTCTTTTAATGGGATGGTGGCCACCACGGGTCACAAAACCCATCCCCAGGTACTTCCTCTCCATCAGTCAGGCCTGTGGCCTTCCCATGGAACATGGGACGAGCTGGTGGCTTCTGTCTTGGGACAGTCTCCTGTCTTATCCAGCCTGAGACAGAAGGTTCCATTTTCACAACCGGTGACAAAAAGACAAGGTGAAAGTGGCCCAACAAAGTCAAACAACCTTAACAACGAGAAAGAAGTCGAACCAAGCCCTTCGCGTGAGCCAGCCCGTTTCCCAAGCCCGACGGCTAACTCCCTGTGCTCGGCTGACCCCGGGCCCCATCCTTCGTCCCAGGGGAGACCATCAAGATTGTGATAGAGGAGTACGTGCAACAGCTGAGCGGCTACTTCCTGCAGCTCAAGTTCGACCCAGAGCTGCTGTTCGGGGCCCAATTCCAGTACCGCAACCGCATCGCCATGGAGTTCAACCAGCTGTACCACTGGCATCCCCTCATGCCCGACTCCTTCCGGGTGGGCCCCCAGGACTACAGCTACGAGCAGTTTCTGTTCAACACCTCCATGCTGGTGGACTACGGGGTCGAGGCCCTGGTGGATGCCTTTTCTCGCCAGCCTGCAGGCCGGGTGAGCCTCAGGGGAGTGCTGGGGAGGGCAGCTGGGCTCCAGGATCCAAACCCCAGTTTTCTGTGAAAGGGAGAGAGTGTCACCCCTCCAGGGTGGTGGTGAGAATCATTCCTTCTTTCATTCTCTTGTTCTTTCATTCATTCAATGATATAAGGCTTACACCAGGTGCTGGGGATACAGTGGTGAACAAGGCCAATGTCGTTCTTGGGTCCTTGTATTTTTTTGACACATGCCACTGGCTCAAACAGTAAAAAAAAAATATCTGCCTGCAATGCAGAAGACCTGAGTTTGATCCCTGGGTTGGGAAGTTCTGGCAAAGGGAATGGCAATCCACTCCAGTATTCTTGCCTGGAGAATCCCATGGACAGAGGAGCCTGGCAGGTTACAGTCCATAGCGTCATAAAGAGTCCAATATGACTGAGCGACTAACACTCACAGTCACTTACCCTAAAAGGGCTTCCCTGGTGGCTTAGTGGTAAAGAATCTACCTGCCAATGCAGGAGGCTTGGATTTGATCCCCAAGAAGATCAAATTGATCAGGAAGATCCCCTGGAGAAGGAAATGTCAACCCACTCCAGTATTCTTGTCTGGGAAATCCCATGGACAGAGGAGCCTGGCAGGCTACGGTCCCTGGAGTTGCAGCAGAGTGTTAGCGACTAAATGACAACAGCTTACCCTAGAAAGGAACAACAGTTATATGATGACTAACATAGTTAGAGCACTTACTACAGGTTAGGTGCTGTGCCAAGGTCTTTCCTGATATTCTCAGAATTCTAAGAGCAGGTTAAGAATCACATTATAGAAGCCCACAATGCTCTGGGAACTTGGAGACAGACTTTAGGCCTAGAGTTGGGGGTTGTGGATAAGAAATTGATGGTTGAGCAGGGATCCAAAGGATGGATAGGGGTCTCCCAGGGCAAGAAGTAACATTTGTGACCTGGGGTCATTGTGTTAGGATGGAGGGGGTGGCATGGCAAAGGCCCGGGGTCAGAGGGCATGGCAGTTTCAGGACCAAGAAGACATTCAGGGTATGGTGATATATGCAAAAGTGCTTACATAGAATAGGTCTTTATTAACTTACAGGCCTCTGTTTTGGGCTGAAGTCCCCCTTGCCCCAAATTCACATGTTGAAGTCTTAACTTCCAAGACCTTAGCATGTGACTGTGTCCGGAGGCAGGGTCTTTAAAGAGCTGATTAGGGTAAATGGGGTCATTGGGTGGGTCCTGCTATAACTGGTGTCCTTAAAAGAAGAGGAGATTAGGATATAGGTGTGCAGAGAGGAAAAGCAAAGGGAGAAGATGGCCATCTCTAAGCCATGGAGAGGCCTGAGAATGAAACCAACCCTGCTGACACCTTGGTCTTGGACTTCTAGCCTCCAGAACTGTGAGGAAATACATTTCTAGTTTTTTGTTTGTTTGTTTTTTAAATTATTTATTTATTCTGGTCTGTGCTGGGTTTTCATTGCTGTGTGGGCTTACTCTAGTTGAGGTGTGCAGGCTTCTCATTGAGGTGGCTTCTCTTGTTGAGGAGCACAGACTCTAAGTGCACGGGCTTCAGTAGTTGGAGCATGAGGGCTTAGTAGTTTTTGCTTGTGGGCTCTAGGGAACAGGTTCAGTAGTTGTAGCACGCGGGCTTAGTTGCTCTGAGGCATGGGAGATCTTCCCAGACCAGGGATCGAACCTGTGTCCCTGGCAGTGACCCACCCCCCACTCCGCCACCAAGAAAGTCCTATTTGTTTTTATTTTAAGTTTTTGCTTATTTATTATCTGTTTTTTTTGGCTGTGCTGCCTGGCATGTGGGATCCTAGTTCCCTGACCAGGGTTAGAACCCATGTCCTCCACAGTGGAAGCATGGAGTCCCAACCACTGGATTACTAGGGAAGTCCCCATTTCTACTTGCTTAAGTCATCCAGTCTGTGGCACTTTGTTATGCCAGCCCAAGCAAGCTATTAGTCCTACCCCTGGGATGTTTAACCAGCTCCCTCCTCAATCTTCCCTTCCCCATGTTTGGGAGCTTCCATCTCCTCCATCCTAGCTTCCTTCCTATCCTGCCACTCTCTTCTTTATCCCTAAGCCCTACCATGAAGGTGTGGCACCACGTGGGTTTGGGTTTCCTCCTGGTAATCTGACTGCAATTAGCATAGGCTGCCACCAATGGGGTTAACGTCTCTGTTCTTTGTGGGGGCACAGAAAGGAGCAGAGACAGTCGCTTGTGTCGGGGGCTGCATGGCTCCCAAAGACTTTTCAAGCAGTGGCCCTGGTGATGTGTGTAAAGAGCTTTGCTGTTTCCTGACGCCAGGCAGAAGGACCAGCGTACCAAAGGTTCTCGGGATATCTTAGGATAACAAAGAATGTGAGAAGTGATAAAACAGGGCTTCCCCTGAGAATTCCCACACATGGTCGCACTTCAGGGTTACTGTGACCAACACTGTGATAGCTGCTTTGTATTCTTTATCTCAATTTCACCACAACCATATCAGATAGAGGCTTCCAGCTTCCTCATGTTTGCATAGGAGGAAACAGAGCCTTAGCATAAGTAATTTGCCTGTGGTCCCTGTTTTTGTTGCCCAGGGCTACAAAAGGACCACAAACCAAGAGGCTTTAAGCTGCAGACATTTATGCTTTTCCTTTTTTATTTTTCTTTTTTTGGAGGTTTAAAATATCACCTTTATTACTGATAAAGCTGATTCTAGAAAACTTAAATAATCTATGCTGACAAGCAGGCTTTTAAATACTAAACCCCCAAATTAGACAAATTTGGTTACCATGACATGGAGGCATCGAAACAAGGAAAATATCTCCCAACTTCCTCCTCGTCCCCCAGAACAAGGAGTATGAGAGGAAGCATACTCTGGTGTCAACTGAGTTCAAAAGCAGTAGTGGGGAATGCTTGTACAATGCACGCCGAGTTTTTGCTCTAAAACTCACCAGTGATACTACGTCACTCCTCCTCTTCTGATAAGCAGTGAGTGGGAGAGACTGGAAAAAGATGCTAAGACTGTTAGGCTACGGGAGTTTCTCCATAAACAAAGTAGTGAAGTGAAATCATTAGTTGCTCAATTGTTTCTGACTCTTTGAGACCCTAGGGACTGGGTTTCCCTGGTGGCTTAGCGGTAAAGAATCTACCTGTAATGCAGGAGACCCGGTTTGACCCCTGGGTCAGGAAGGTCCCCGGGAGGAGGGCATGGCAATCCACTCCGGTACTCTTGCCTGGAGAATCCCTTGAACAGAGGTGCCTGGCAGGAGAAGCAGATGGGGTCACCTGCATTCCTGTGTGCAACTTTTTCTGGTCTGGATGAAGTGACTTGATGCTCTGTGTTCCTACTTCCTAGCTCAGTTTCTCTTTTCTAGTGGTGGCTTGTTCTTAGGGGTTCACTTTTTAATACCAGAGACTCAGTAAATTTTGTTTAATCTCAATTCTGTGCTACAGAGAGTGGAAAACAATAGAAATAGTTTCTTCAGTATGTGTTCGTGTTGAGTCGCTTCAGTCCTGTCCGACTCTGCTGGACACTATGGACTGCAGCCCACCAGCCTCCTCTGTCCATGGAATTCTCCAGGCAAGAATACCAGAGTGGGTTGCCATGCCCTCCTCCAGAGGATCTTCCTGACCCAGGGATTGAACCCACATCTCTTATGTCTCCTGCATTGGCAGGCGGGTTCTTTACCACTGGCGCCACCTGGGAAGCCCTGGGTTCTTCAGCAAGATCCATTAAAAGACTAAATATCATTGTTCTGTGATAAGAACTGATTTGGGGAATGACAGACACATCAGTTCTGCCAGGTAGAGTTTAAAAAATATCCTAGGGAAGTCATAAAGTTTTGGCCCCCTCAAACTAATGTTTGTCCATTCATCTGTTTCCATCACTTAAAAGCTTAGAAACCTTTCTGCCTTTTATTTCAAGATCTGAAATGCCAGTCCCCTCTGCTTGAGTTCTTGACTTGTGGCCATTTTGGCCATCTCTCTGCAGAGTCCTAGTTGTTGTACCTAATAGCTCCAGAACCTTCCTTAACAGGATGTTGGAGGTCCTCACCTAAATTCAAAGGGCTGGGGAACCGTGTGTCCAGTGAGTGACTAGAGGAGTCCTCCTGGCCCACTCTACAGTCTAAAGATGAGGAAGCTGATGGGACTTCCCTGGTGGTCCAGTGGTTAAGACTCTAAGCTCCCAGTGCAGGGGTGCATGGGTTCCATCCCTCATTGGGGAATTAACATCCTGCTTGCCACTCCATGTGGCCAAAAATACAAACACAAATATAAATAACTAAATAAGATGAGGAAGCTGAGAAGCATGGCCATGCAGACCTAGGTCGGGTTCCCAGCTTGGTGCTTGCTAGACTGAGCAATACTTTCTACTCAGGAAGGACTCCTGACCTGAAGTTCTTCTCCAGGACCACATGGCTTGGCTCTCAGACCACTGCCGTGTTTATCTCTTGGCAGATCGGTGGGGGTAGGAACATAGACCACCACATCCTGCACGTGGCTGTGAATGTCATCAAGGAATCACGGGAGCTGAGGCTGCAGCCCTTCAATGAGTACCGCAAGAGGTTTGGCATGAAGCCCTACACCTCTTTCCAGGAGCTCACAGGTGAGCAGCTGCTTCCTGGCCGTGATTCCTGCCCTCCAGGGGCTCACGCTGAAATGAGGGAGACCTTGAGGAAACAGAAGGGGCGATCCATGTGGCCAGCCCTGTGACCGCAGGATTTGAGGGGTGAGAGAGCATGGTGCTGGGGGTGGCAAGGGTTGCAGATGACTCAGCCTGGGGAGAGAAGGTGGCTTCTCATCTGGGTTTGAAGGATAAAAAGGGATTTTCCAGTGAAGAACAGAGGGAAGAGCTTTCTAGGTGGAGGAACAGAAAGTACAAAAACACAAGGGTTAAAAAGAATGAGCTTGCAAAGGTCCTGGCCTACTCAGGAAAACCGTCCTAGGTGTGGCTGGAGCAAGAGGCTTGTGAGGAAGAGGGTGGTGTTGGTGAGAGGAGGCTGGCTCATACCATGTGGAATCTTGGATTCTATGCTAAGATTTTGAGTTTTATTCTCTCTAGTGGTTCCTAAATCCCATTTATGGACCAGCTTCCTAAAACTCACTTAGAAAACTAATTAAAAATACCAAATCTGAGATGTCTCTTCTAGAGATTCTGATTCAGTAGGCCTAGACTTAGCACACAGGTGGTGCCCAAGAATATATGTGTGTGTGTGTATATATACAGATAAGTATATAGACACAATAGTATGTATACATATATACATATGTGTGTATATATAAAACACAAATATGTATATAACACTCACATATATAATATATGTATTATATTTTCTATATATAAATATTTGTTGTTGCTCAAGATACCCAGTTGTTGGGAAGCCAAGTTTGGAAACTCTTGTCACAGATGATGAGGGGCCACTGAAAGGCTATGACCAGGGTGTGACCTGACCCCTGAAGTGTACTGGTGCCCCATGGAGGGTGGACTTGGGGAAATGGGTAGCGATGCTTCACGTCTGTTTCCCGTGACAGTCCAGAGAGATAGAAAGAACACTGTCGCTAAATCTTTATGTGAACTTGGACAAGTGTGAACTTGAAGCTCCAGTGGAATGCAGGGTCTTGGACCAGGATAAGGCCTTGAAACCTGCCCATGAAGGAAACTAGATGGGGAGCTTCTCTCTGTTGTAAGGATCAGGTAATCAGGACACAGAGATATGGAGTGAGTTGTTTCAAGGTACACACTGGTTGCAGATCCAGGCCCTTGACTCCATCTGCAGTAGCAAATTCCTTATCTCCAGGCAGCCCTAGAGCAGGGTCAATCAGCCAGGTCAGATTTTAGGGCACCTGCTCATTTGCTCAAGTTGATCTTCTGAAGTCCCTTCTTCTCCCTGGAACAAGGTGCACCTAGAAGGTTCCCTCCTGAACCTTAATAGATGGCATTGTAATTCTGACTCTGGCTCCCCGCTCTTGCAGGTGAGAAAGAGATGGCAGCTGAATTGGAAGAGCTATATGGAGACATCGATGCTTTGGAATTCTACCCAGGGCTGCTTCTTGAGAAGTGCCATCCGAGCTCCATCTTTGGGGAGAGTATGATAGAAATGGGGGCTCCTTTTTCCCTTAAGGGCCTCTTAGGGAACCCCATCTGTTCTCCAGAGTACTGGAAGGCAAGCACATTTGGTGGTGAGGTGGGCTTCAACCTTGTCAAGACGGCCACGCTGAAGAAGCTGGTTTGCCTCAACACCAAGACGTGTCCGTACGTGTCCTTCCACGTGCCAGACCCCCGCCAGGAGGACAGGCCTGGGCTGGAGCGGCCACCCACAGAGCTCTGAGGGGGCTGGGCAGCAGCATTCCGGACGGTAGAGCTTCCTGCTTGTCATTCCAGAATGCTGAGGGGTGGATCGTCTTTGATGTTGGGTTTCTGATTTGGCGTCGAGAGCATCAGCGTAGACATTTAGAACTCTAGGTCTCTCACCCGTGGTCTGGAATACTGTGGTTCTTGTTTGTCATTCTAGAATGCTGAATTCCTGGTGAACCATCGAGAATGTTAGGAGTGGTTATCCCTTCAGCATGCCAGAACTCTGGGTTCTGGGTGACCACCTAGAATGTCAGATTTCTAGTTGATCCAGAATTTAGGCATTCTGAAATATGGGACTCCTGATGGAAACATCTAGAAAGTGAGGGGGTTCTTATTTTGCATTCTAGAGTTCTGGGTGGCCCTCCAGAATGTCGACTTTCTGACTGGTTATCTAGAATGCTGTGCTCCTAGTTGCTGATCCAGAACAGTGGCTGGCATTCTAGATCAGTCCTGATCTGAATGTCTAGAGTGTTGAGAATTCATTTTCCTGTTCAGTGAGACAGCCACGGAGCAGGAGGATCTCATGTCCAACAAGAACACATTGCTTGGATCTGTGCCTGCGTGGAGGGGGGCAAGGAAGTGGGGTGTCCGTCTTCTCAGTGGGACCCCAAATGAGACCCTGGATATGGAGAGAACAGGTGGCTTTCTCCAGGCCGTTGGTTGGAAGCCACCAGAGCTCTGTTCTCATTCAGGTCTCAACTCGGCAGCTGTTTTTCATGAAGTTAATAAAATGCTTTTTCCAAATTGCCTGGTATCTGTATCTCTTTTGATCCCATCCCCAGAATCAGGGGTAATATGGAAGTGACCGTTCTCCTGACCACAGGCTACAAGTGCTGGAGGTTTGCAGGAGGAGATTTTCCTCTGGGATTCCCCTGTCACTGTCTAGATCTTTCATCACTGATCCTGCCCCTCTCAACCCACCCCCACCCTCCTGACATGGGTTAGGCATTGCCTTTTCCAGGCTGTTCTCCTAAAATACACAACTTCCCAGCCCCAGGAAATGTGGCATTCAGTTCCCACCATCTGATTAGAGCAACTTCCTCTCTTAACTGAGCGTGCAGCAGAGCTGAAAGGCATTTGGGGAGGAGAACATTTACTCTGTGCCAGTTTTACATATTTCATTTCTCAGTTGTTTTCAACCCAACAGTGTGAAGTTGGTGGTATAATCCCTGTTTCCAACCAAGGGAACCGGGACTTCCCAGGGGGTCCAGTGGTTGAGACTCTGCACTTCAATGCTAGGGGTGTGGGTTCCATGCCTGGTTGGAGAATTAAGATCCCACACATCATGTGGCCAAAAAACAAAACAAAAACATTTTAAAAAGCAAAAAACAAAAAACAAGGAAATTGAGACTAAGGGTGGTTAAGTGACATCCCCCAACATGCCAGAGCTAGATTGGGACCCAGGTCTGGCTGAATCTAAAGCTGGGCTCGTTCCCCCATCTGGCTTCCTCTTGCTTCCTGATTTGACTCATTTCCGGGCCTGATCTTGCTTGTCTGGCTCAGGGTTAAAGGCAGAGGTGGGGTGTATCCTCCACCTTACTTGCAGGGTATTTGTTTAGTCACAAATGTTTATATTCCTAATTGGGTGCTAGTTACTGTCTCAGACTTGGGGCTACAGCAGTGAGTGATCAATAGATAAGGCTGTGCAATATGTCTTTGTAGTTTATTTCATACATTGTACAGCACACAGAATGTAGCCACTATTTTATAATAACTTTAATTGGAGTATGGTGGCTCAGATGGTAAAGCGTCTGCCTACGATGTGGGAGACCTGGGTTTGATCCCTGGGTTGGGAAGATCCCCTGGAGAAGGAAATGGCAACCCACTCCAGTACTTTTGCCTGGGAAATCCCATGGACGGAGGATCCTGGTAGGCTACAGCCCATGGGGTCACGAAGAGTCAGACACGACTGAGTGACTTCCCTTTCACTTTAAATGGAGTATAATCTATGAAAATATTGAATCACTATGTTGTACACCTGAAATGTAATATAGTAAATCAACTCTACCTCAATAATAAAATAATAATTAAAAAATATCTCCTGTAAAGTTCAAAGTCCTAAGAAATGACAGGCTTCAGCCTGCATGGAGCTCACATTCCAGCGAGGGCAGAGCAGACAATAAAGAGGAAAACAATGAAAGATGAGCACTCAGGTGAGTGTGATCTCCCTTCCAGCTCACACTGTCCTACTCTGCTTGACTCTGGAGCCCTCAGACTCTGCCCAGCCACACAGACTCCCATAGCCAGCAACAGAGGAGGAGAGGTCAGAGGGATGAGGTAAGAGATTGGAAAAGCGTCTTCATGCTCCCATTTTGGGTTTAGAGTTCCTTGTGAGGAATGATGGCAGAAACAATGCAGGAAATTGGGGTCCAAGCTGAGGGTCCCTGGCTGGGTCTACTGTCTTGTGGTCCAAAGAGCCCTTGTCTCTCTGTAGCTGACTGGGGACTGTTTCCATCATTTCTCTCTGGTCCTGCTGAATTAAGAGAATGCCATCCTTGCCTGCTCCCCCAGCTGCTCTCATGTGGAAGGACCCTTTGGGTGCTTGGAGTGGGCATGGCATAGCTGTGTCTTGTCCTTGCAGGGCCTGTATCTATTTCCTCTCTTCTGCTAATGCTTTGACTTTGCTGAGAATCCTTCTCTCTGTGTTAATTTCAGTCTTGGTGGCTCCATCCAGGGTCCCTTCCTGGCTAAGAGGTGGGCCTGTGAATCCATCCTGGTCAGCGAAACACCCTCTTTTTATACACCAGCCCCTGTGTAGAGTTGCATGGAGACTGAGAAGACTGGGCTTTTCCCCCACAGCTGGGCTCTCTCTCTTCTCTCTCTCTCTCTTTGTTTTTGGCTGTGGCCGAGCATCATGTGGGATCTTAGTTCCCTGACCAGGGATTGAACCAGCGCCCCATGCATCTCCGCATCGAGAGCATGGAGTTTTAATCACTGGACTGCCCCAGAAGTCCCCACAGCTAGGCTCTGAAAACACTGTCCATTGGTTCTTGCCTTCAACATCTCCAGGGAAGCCTGGATTGATAACCTTCTCAAAACTTTAGCTATTCCTTCCATTCTGGGGGGCTAGTCCATGAATTCCTCTGTCACTTAAATTGGTCAGAGTTGGGAGTCTGCTGCTTATAACCAAACATGAATAGCTGCTGACAGATGCAGTAGGATGGCTCTGGAAGGAGTTGAATCAGCAGAGACACAATCAGTCTAGAGATTTAGAAAAAGCAGCCTCGGGTAGGGTGGATGGCAGAGTAGAGCAGGAAGGACTGCAGTGAGGCAGAACATACTGAGGCTGTGGCTGTGGTCCAGCCGAGACAGGATGGCTGCTGGGTGCCAGGTGAAGGGCTGTGGGGATGGGAGGATGGGATATATCCTAGAGATAGTCTTTTTTTGAATAAAGATTCCTAGATTAGGGGGACTTTGTTTTGTATGGACAATTGTGTGTGGAACTTGTGTAAATAGAAAGTCTATCAAATGTACCAAGAAGACTTCTTAAGAATGAAGGATCTTTGCGACACTGTTTACAATAACTAGGACACGGAAGCAACCTAGATGTCCATCAGCAGATGAATGGATAAGGAAGTTGTGATACATGTACACAATGGAATATTACTCAGCTATGAAAAAAGAATGCATTTGAGTCAGTTCTAATGAGGTGGAAGAAACTGGAGCATATTATATAGAGTGAAGTAAGCAGAAAGAGAAACACCAATTCAGTATATTAACACATGTATATGGAATTTAGAAAGATGGTAACGACGACCCTATATGCAAGGCAGCAAAAGAGACACAGATGTAAAGAACAGACTTTTGGGACTCTGTGGGAGCAGGTGAGGGTGGGATGATTTGAGAGAATAGCATTGAAACGTATATTATCATATGTAAAATAGATGACCAGTGCAAATTTGATGCATGAAGCAGGGCACTCAAAGCTAGTGCTCTGAAACAACCCAGAGGGATGGGGTAAGGAGGGAGATGGGAGGGGGGTTCAGGATGGGGGACACATGTGTACTTGTGGCTGATTCAAGTCGATGTATGGCAAAAACTGCCACAGTATGGTAAAGTAATTAGCCTCCACAATTAAAATAAATTAATTAATTAAAAAAAAGAATGAAGGATCTTTAAATTTACACCCATGGCTGATTCATGTCAATGTATGGCAAAAACCATTACAATATTGTAAAGTAATTAACCTCTGATTAAAATAAATTAAAAAACTTTTTTTTTATATTGGAGTATAGCCAATTAATAATTTTATGATAGTTTCAGGTAGACATTAAAGGGACTCAGCCATGCAAACACATGTATCCATTCTCCCCCAAACTCGGCTCCCATCCAGGCTGCCACATGATATTGAGCAGAGTTCCTTGTGCTATACCAAAGGTCCTTGTTGGTTATCCATTTTAAATATAGTGTGTACATGTTCATCCCAAACTATCTTTTTCCCCTGTCCTTCCCCACTGGCAACCACAAGTTCACTCTCTAAAAGTGAATCTTCTTCTGTTTTGTAAATAAGTTCATTTGTATCATTTCTTTTTAAATTCCACATATAAGGGATGTCATATGGTATTTCTCCTAGGAGTTGTTTTTGTTTAGTTGCTAAATTGTGTCCAACTCTTGCAACTCTATGAACAGTAGCCCTCCAGGCTTCTCTGTCTGTGGGATTTCCAAGGCAAGAATAGTGGAGTGGGTTGCCATTTCCTTTTTCAGGGGATCCTCTTGATCCAGGGAGTTGAACCCATGTCTCCTGCATTGCAGGCGAGTTCTTTACTGTTGAGCCACCAGGGAAACCCTCCTAAGAGTGAAGGATCTTAATGTTCATAATTTGAGTGCTCATTCCTGGAATTTTGATTTGATGGGTGTGGTGATTCATTCTCTGTGTCAACTTGGCTGGACTACAATTATTTAATCAAACACTAATCTGGGTGTGGCTGCCAAGGTATTTTGCAAGCTACTTAACACTGCAGGCTACTTAATACT